TTCTCAGTTTGTTCATTATTAGTGTATAGAAATGCTAATGACTTTTCTATGTTGATTTTATATCCTGCTACCTTGCTATAGCTATTGATGGTGTCTGTGAGCTTTTGAGTAGAGTTTTTTGGGTCTTTAAGGTATAGGATCATGTCATCTGCAAATAGGGATATTTTGATGAGAAGTGGAGTTTTATCTGACCATTAGGAGAGTTGTAAAGCCAATGTAGTTTCTAGAGGATTTCTTTGCTTCCCCAGTCTTGCCTTCACAGACCCCTATCTTTTTTCAGGTGAACAGCCCTGAGGAGGACTGATATCTCCTACAATGCCGAAAGCCATGGCTGCAGTGAGTTGATGTTTCTTCCTATCTTCTTGACATTGTTCTTTTGTCATGTGAGCTGGGTACAGTGGGGCACACCAATAATCCCAGCTACTGGAGAAGATGAGGCAGGTGGATAGAGAGTTTGAGACCAGCCTGGGTTACACCCATACACCTCATCTCAAAAAAAAAATGACATGTATTTGTTTTCCTTATCCTGACATTTCTGGTTAACAGAGTCCTCCTACAGAATCCTGGTCCCTGTTTCCTCTCATGATGGCTAGATAACCCTACACATCCCTCAGTGCCCTCTTTTTTTCAACCAGCATCAGTATTTCATTCAGTAAGTAACTGAGCATCTCTTTTGTCAGCCCTCTCTCAGTAACTATGATGGAGAGGAAGTGTATCTCTTAACAAATCAAGAGTAGATTTGAAGAATAAACTTGTTTCTGGATGTACTGTGATTTAATGAGATTGAAATAAGAGTTGTTTAGTTGAGAAGAAACATTGAGAAGCCAAGATTATGTCTACTAGTATTCTCCAGTAAAATAGGATGGAAGGTGATATTGGTAGTACTAAATGTTAGATTGTTGAAAGATCTCATCTATGAGGGTTTGGATTCATGGGTTTGGTGGCTGACACCGATCTCTGCTATTGTCAGGGCATCTGTGTTAGCTTTCTATTACTATAAAAAACACCAGCAAATAGTAAACTTATAAAGAGCAAAGGTTTATAAGTTGCAGTCCACCATTGCTTTTGAGCCTTGGTAAGTTAGCACATCATAGCAGGGATTACATGGTTGAGCAAAAGCCATTCTCCTCATGGTGAGGGAGCAAAAGAGAAGGAAGGAGCCAGGATTCCAAAACTCCTTCAAGGGCATCTTCCCCACACCACCACCACCAAGATCAGAAGACCTTTCGCTAGGCCCCATTTGTTTAACTTTCCAATAGCCCCATGCCTTTAACACAGAGGTGTTTAAGGGGACATTGGAAATCCAAATTGTAGCAGCATCCATGACACAAGTTCCAATTTGAGGTTGAACAGGAAGTATGGGTCATGAATTTCTATGTGAATCATCCCATTCGTTTTCTTTATCCCAGGAATAAGGATAGGGATGATGGCTAAGTTTGGCCTATGCATAAGTTGTTGAGTTCATACTCTCAGAGCTCTTGAGAACCTTATTTATTTATTTATTTATTTATTTATTTATTTTTGGTGTTACCAGGATTTGAATTTTTGAACTTACTAGAGAGTTGCTCTACCACTTGAGCCATGCTGCCAGGCCTTTTTGTTTTGGTTATATTTGAGATAGGGTCTTCCTTTATGCCTGGGCTGGTCTGGATTGCGATCCTTCTATTTATGCTTCCCATATGTCTGAGATTCAGAAATAGACCACTATACCCAGCTTTTTTATTGATTGAGATGGGGTCTTGTGAAGATTTTGCCCAGGCTGACCTTGAACTACAATCTACCCTATATAGGTCTCCTGAGTAGCTAGGATTACAGGTGTGAGCCACCACACCCAGAAAGAACCTTATAACTCTTTTCCAGTAATAATACACCATAGAAATTCTGCCACCAGAAAAAAAATAATTAAAAATTTGTATTAATGGGAAATCTTATATTAGCAAGTCACAAGAACAAACCAGAGTTTATAAGAAATTTAAATTGTATACTTTCTGAAATGGTGCTATTTTAAGATGTAATTGTCAAATTTTACATGTTAAACATTCAATGAGTGTTAAAAGAGCAGGGCCCTCTCTGTCACCACTTGATACTACTCTGAAGGCAGACACCATCATTTCTTTTAGCTGATTCCAGTGGAGTGTATCCCATAATTCTAATTAATATTCCTGTGTTGCTGTTTCTTGGTTATTTCCTTGCAAATTTATTTATGGGTTTCATTTGCTATATCACACTTTGCCCCACAACAGAGCTCTATGAAGTTTTGTTTGAATCAATGCAGTACATGTGACTAGTATCTTGTAGATACTCTATTGCAACTATTCTCTACCACCTCCCTTTAAAAATACTTAATTATGGTAATTTTCGACATAAAAAGTAGAGTAGTTTTGTAAACTACTACATATCAATCAACACTAGCTTGAATGAAAACTCAGAATTAATCTTATTTTATCTGTTCTGAGCCATGCATATTCCTCTGCCTTCACCACCCAACACAGCAACTTATTTTGAAGTGAACAGAAATCGATATGTACCTCTAAAAGATAAGCTTTTGGTGGGGGAGGGTGAGACTGGGGTTTGAATTCAGGACTACATGCTTGCAAAACAGGCTCTACCACTTGAGTCACACATCCAGTCTAAGAAATGTTTTGATACCAGGTCTCACTATGTAGCTCAGGCTTTCTTTGAGTTTAAGATCCTCCCACCTCAACCTCCCTAATGCTGGGTTAGGTGTGTGCCACCACACCTGGCTAGAATTTTTTTAAAGGATAGCCATTATAATCATCAATATCTACTCATGATCAAATTTTCATAATTGTCTCATATTAGAGCATTTATTTGAATTAGAATTCAGATAAGAACTATGAAATTGATTTATTTGTCTCTCAGTCTTCTAGTTTTGTAGGTATTCCTTCCATCTCTTCTTTCTGCACAGTTTTTTAATTATAAAAGAAATAAACTTATTTGTCCATGTATAGATTTTGTTGATTGTGTCTGTGCTCTCATTTAAATTGATCATTGAATGTAAAAGCTTGGTCAGGCTTAGTTGGGGATTTTTTTGTCAGGAATATTTCTTAGATCAGTGATGTATAATTCTATTAGGAGTTACATTATATTTGGTTCTGTTTATTTTTGTAATATAGCAGTTATTGATCTGTAATTTTTTAGATGTTGCAAGCTAATATTTTAATTTTGTCATTCCTCTTCACAGATTAGGTGAATCTTCTATCTATAAAGTAAAACTTTTTCTCCTCAACTGTTTGGTTATCCTGAAGGATACTGCATATAGGAAAGAATGTTTGTTTCTTTCCATTGTTTGCCAGTTTTTAAAATACTGAGTTGGCTTCTTAGAATCTTCTAAAAATGACTGATTTTTTCCCAATATTATGGTAAGATTGTGAATTAAACATTTTCATGTGATCAGTTCATTGTAGTTATGCCATTTGGGGCCTAGGGAAACTTAATCCTGAAAATCATCTCTTTTCTCCCAAAGAACCTTTGTTGCTTTATTTGAAAATTGTACTTAAGGCTGGGCAGTGGTGGCTCATCTGTAATCCTAGCTACTCAAGAGGCAGCGATTAGGAGGATCTCAGTTCAAAGCCAATATCTTGAGAGACTGTATCTCAGGAAAAAAAAAAAAAAGGACTGGCAAATTGGTTCAAGTGGTAGAGTGCCTGTCTAGCAAGTGTGAGGCCCTAAGTTCAAACCCCAGTGCTGCCAAAACAAAAACTGATACTAAACAAAAAAAAAAGCAATCTCAGCACTTGAGGTGCTTTGCCCACTGTCCTAGTCATTGTTTCTAGACCTTTTTTACGGACAGAGTCAGAAATTTATTTGGCATTATTCTTGCATATATTTTTGAGATGAAAGATAGTGGTTCTCAGTAACATCAATATAATCACATGTTTGCCTTCACAATGCAAGAACAATAGTCTTGGGAGTGTTTCTTTTCTTATACAGCTAGTATCGTTTGTTGTTTCAGGGATCGGTGATATTCAGTGATGTATCCATAGACTTCTCTCAGGAAGAGTGGGAGTGCCTGGCCCCTATCCAAAGGGACTTGTACAGAGATGTGATGTTGGAGAACTATGGCAATCTGCTTTCAGTGGGTAAGGACATCTACACCAACAATTCAGAATTCTCTTCTGGAATGTCTGCTGCTCCCACAGTGAATTTCTCAAGTGCTTTTTAAGTTATCAGCTGAATTTCACCTCCTTATTCCCAAATAAATGGTTTCCATAGGAATGTAAAGGAAGTTTGGGAAATGGGCACCTCCAGTGGGCTATGACTGAGGCTTCATCTTCATCTTCTTTGGCTGTTCCTATAGTGGCATCTCTTGCTTGATCATCAAGGGCCTGGATCTGAGTTGCCTACAGCATAACCATGTTCCATATCTCTTCTCATAAGCAGGACTTTACATTCCTAAGCCTCATGTGATCTCCTTATTGGAACAAGGGAAAGAGCCCTGGATGGTTGGCAAAGAGCTTACAAGAGGACTCTGTTCAGGTAAGTGAGAAATGAACCCACAGAGCTGTGATTACAGATGGTACCTCAACTGGTCAGTGAGGAAGCAGCACTTTCAAGATGTTATCGAGAGTCCCCATTAAGAGTCTAGGCCTGTAGGGATGGCAGAGTGACTCAAGTGGTTGAGCACTTGCCCAGCAAGCTTGAGGCCCTGAGTTCAAACCCCAGTATCACAAAAAACAAAAACAAACAAACAAAAAAAACTCTAGGTCTGGGGAGATAACTGAGCCCTTTCAGCATGAGTCTGCAGCTAACCCATTTCATCCCTTCCTTCACTTACTGTTTCTACTCTTCTTCACAAACAATCCTCATAATTTCAAGTAGAAGGTGCCTTTCACTTCCCCACCAAAGAAAACTCTTTTATCCATATTTTATATTCAGCTCCATGCCAGCTTTTCTACTTTTTACATTTAGATTTATATAAAAGTTGTCTTTTACCATTCCAAAAATAACATAATAGTGTGTGCATATGCACATGTGAATCCACCCCACCCCTACCACCCAAATACTGGTCTTCATTATAGCTGCCTGTCAGTGACTTGTTTTATCAGTTTGTCTTGGATTTCTTTTCTCTATTCAACATTTTTTATTCTTAATTTGTGTAAGGGAGTCATTGGGTACTACAGTTTGCTAATTGTGACAGCTATGAGAATTCAAAGTCTAAGCCAGGTGTGGCAGCTCATTTCTGTAATCCTAGCACTCAGGAGGTAGGGGCCTCAGTTGTCTGAGACCAAAAGAAAACAGTTCAAAGTCTGAGCTGGGCATAGTGTCATAAGCCAATGTGGCTGGGCTCCATGAGCAAGTGGGAGCAGAGTAAGAGTTGAGGCTGGATAGACAGGTTGCACTACAGCATCCAGTTTATACTGAAGATTATAAGGAATTTGGATTTGAGCAATGGAAGGGGTCAGGCCCATGCCACTTTCCCTGAATAAAGGGTGTGGGAACTTGTTTTAGGGGGTGCGTAAATGATCTGGTGAGAGTTGGTTCTAGTTTAGAAGATGGCATTTGTTAGGGGAGATACGAGGGAACAATTTTTTGTTTGTTTTTGTTTCGATTTGTGTTGGGGTGTTTTTTTCCTTGGGCAAACACTTTGCCACTGAGCTATACTCCCAACCCAAGAGGACCGTCTCTCTCTGGTTTTTTGTTTTAACAGCACTAGAACTGGAACTCAGGGCCTTGTACCTGCTAGGCAGGCACTCTACCACATAAGCCACAGCCCCAACCCTTTTAATTTATTTTTCAGGTAGGGTCTCTCTCTTTTGCCTGGGGCCAGCCTTAGACTGAGATCCTCCAACCTCCGCCTCTGATGTAGCAGAGTTTATAGACCCACATCATCCATGCCTGGCTTGGTTTTTGAGATGGGGTCTCAGGCTAGAAGAGTGGCTCAAGTGGTAGAGCACCTGCCTGGTAAGTGCAGAGCCCTGAATTTTAAACACCTGAATGGCCGAGAGAGAGAAAGAGGATCTCACTTTTTTTGCACAGGTTGGCCTCTAACCACAATCCTCCCAGCTCCACCTCTCACATGTGTGGAATTACAGACATACACCATCAAGTCCATCCCCCCGAAGATAGTCTTAAAGGTTACTTATGAACTTAATTCCATGGAAGTAAATGAAAGATCATAATGGTAAGAGAGAAAGGATTGTGTTGTAATGAGTTCCCTGTTGTCAGCTTGAAATGTTCCTGTAGGCTCCATTTTGATGTTTTCAAACCATTTAATTTGCCTAATATTCCCATTTTATGAGAAATTCTTTTGCAGTAATAGTTACAGATACTGAATACTTAACTCGAAGACATTTATAAACATTTTCTCTTACTTTGCTAGTAATCATAAGGAATATTTCCCTTGTATAATTGAAGAATACAATTGTAACTTGTATAGCAAGTTAAATACAAGTTAAATAATTGCCTGGGAACTTACAGTGACTTATCAAAATTGAGACTCAGCTCTCATCAATCTGATTCCTTTCATCTTTCCATGACACTGTGTGATACTGGATCTTATATTCCTTTCTTTCTTCCTTAAATTCTAGCCTGGATCTTAATTCCTTTCTTTCTTCCTTAAATTCTAGCTGCCTCCCCTCTTAGATACCGGGGTAGTACATGAACAAGTCTCCTCTCTTCTCCCAAGATCAGCATTACAAAATCCAAGGCAAACAGCATTTTCATTGATTTTCCAAGACATGAAATATTCTGAGTTTTCTGTGTGCCACTTATGCCAAATTAGTTTAACACCTTAGCCTTACTGAGGCTCTTTCCCCTGTGGATAACTCTCTGTTGCTACTTTCAAATTTCATCTACTACATCCTTTATTATGGAGCCTGTTCTGTTTCCACCCCAATTTAGTGTGCTGCCATTCAGCTTGAGAGTATCCAGAGTTAGTACAGACCACAGAGCCTTCCACAGTGCTGTCCTCCCTTTAGATGCCAGCCTACAGTCTTGAGAGTCCCCAGGCCACCTGCATTTGGACCAACTAGTTACCATATTCAGGGATTTCTAAGACTCCTCAGGTTCAATAATTTTCTAGAACAATTCATAGAACTCATGAACGCTCTACACTTAAGATTATAATTTTATTATGAAGGATATGTATTAAGGTGAGATCTTGAAGGCTTCTGGATATGTTCCATACTCTCTCCTTGTGGAGTCAGGGCTTGCTGCCCTCCCAGCATATTAGTGGACTCCATTTCTAGAAAGCTCCACTGAGCTTGGTATCTAGAGGTTTTTGTTTTTTCTACGTAGATAGCTTAATCTTTACTGTCTCTCCCCTTATCAGAGGTCAGATAGCTGAAAGTCCCAACCCTCTAATCACCTACTGTGTCTTTCTGATGACAACCCTCATCCTGAACCTTTTAAGGGCCCACCATGAATCACCTCATAAGAACAAAGATACTGCTATCATTCAGAAGGTCTTAAGGGTTTTTGAAGTACTGTGCCAGGAAACAAGGACAGAGACCAATTTAAGTCAGCATGGTGGCACAGGCATATAATCCCAGCACTGGGAGGTGGGAATCCCAGAGAGAAGTGGAGAATCACAAATTCAAGGGCCAGCCTGGGCTGCATGGTGAGACCCTGTCTCCAAAAAAAAAAAAAAAGACCAAATGTATTCTCTATCATGCCACAAAATATCCAAGAGTCTTCCTCATGTATCTGTGTGTGAGGAGTCATGTTTACTATGGAATGTGGTCCAAATACTGTTTCCCAACTGTTCTTGATGATTCTGACCCACATCCATATTTGATAATCATAATCACTATGGTAACTTATTTTCATAGGCTCCTCCCTCTCCTTCCTCCATTGCATGTTGGTAATTTCTGTGCATTCCTTCTCCATTTTTCATATTAAACAGGTGTTCCTGAGAACTGTTTATTATTTATCTACTAGGTATTCGTTCATTTTAATTTTCCCATTTTCACCATAAAAGTGTAACTTCTCACAAATAGAAGGGGAAGGAATGAGTATATGTTCTTTTCTTTCAGATCTGGAATCAATGTGTGAAAGCAAGTTATTATCCCTGAAGAAGGAAGTTTACGAAATAGAATCGTGCCAGAGACAGATAATAGGACTTGCAAAGCATGGCCTCGAGTACCCCAGTGTCAGAGAGGCTTTGGAATGTAGAAGCCACTTTACAAGACAATCAGGGCTTCAAAATGGGAATTTAAGCCAAGAAATACTCACTCATGAATATATGCCCACATTCATTCAGCAGACTTTCTTTACTCTACATCAAATTATCAATACTAGAGAGAAACCTTACGAATGTAAGAAGTGTGGGAAGGCCTTTAGTCAGAACTCACAACTTATTCAACATCAGAGGATTCATATTGGTGAAAAGTCTTACGAATGTAAGGAGTGTGGGAAATTCTTTAGTTGTGGTTCACATGTTACTAGACATCTGAAAATTCACACTGGTGAGAAACCCTTTGAATGTAAAGAATGTGGGAAGGCCTTCAGTTGTAGTTCATACCTTTCTCAGCACCAGAGAATTCATACTGGTAAGAAACCCTATGAATGTAAGGAGTGTGGGAAGGCCTTTAGTTATTGCTCAAATCTTATTGACCACCAGCGAATTCACACTGGCGAAAAACCCTATGAATGTAAGGTATGTGGGAAAGCCTTTACTAAGAGCTCACAACTTTTCCAACATGTGCGAATCCATACAGGTGAGAAACCATACGAATGTAAGGAATGTGGCAAGGCCTTTACTCAGAGCTCAAAGCTTGTTCAGCATCAGAGAATCCACACTGGTGAGAAACCCTATGAGTGCAAGGAATGTGGCAAGGCCTTTAGTAGTGGCTCAGCACTCACTAATCATCAGAGGATTCATACTGGTGAGAAACCCTATCATTGTAAGGATTGTGGGAAGGCCTTTACTCAGAGCTCACAACTTCGTCAACATCAAAGAATTCATGCTGGTGAGAAACCCTTTGAATGTCTTGAATGTGGGAAAGCCTTTACTCAGAACTCACAACTTTTTCAACATCAGAGAATCCACACAGATGAAAAACCGTATGAATGCAATGAATGTGGGAAGGCCTTTAATAAATGCTCAAACCTTACTCGGCATTTAAGAATTCATACTGGTGAAAAGCCCTATAACTGTAAGGAATGTGGGAAGGCCTTTAGTAGTGGTTCAGATCTCATTCGTCATCAGGGAATTCATACTAATGAATGATAAAAGTTACAGATTGTCACCTTCTTAATATTTTAAACAAAAATTCATGGTTTGTTTTATTTGATATTTAAGTTTTTAATACAAATTATAAATTCAGAGTCTAAACTGACATCTCCCTCAGTCTTGTACCAATGCCAGTTGTTCAATGGTTCTTTTTCCACATTGTTTGGTGCTATGTTACATTCTTGTTTATATTTGCTTGTATTTTAGGGCTGTCTTTTCTGATCTATATATTTATGCTTGCACCACTATAACAGTGTTTACATTGTGTGCCTTTACTAATTTTAAAATTCCTTATAGAATTTTAACTTTGTTTTTGAAGTCAGTATTAATCTTTTTGCTTCCTTTCACAAGTTTATATTTTTTACTATAAAACTGAAGCTCAGAAAGCATAGAAAACCAGAAACTAAAAAGCCAAAATTATAAAACTGACGATAGATGACTTCTCTTGATTTGGTAAAACAAATTCTGCTGGGCTTTTTCTTTTTTAAGGAAGTGTAGTCATGATATACATAATGTACCTTCATTTGCTTTTATCATATCAAAAATTATAATTGCCATTTTAATAAATAGACTTTATTACTTTTATTGGCTCATTTAATAAGTTTTAAAAATGACTTATTCGTGCTGTGGTTGCCTCTGAATTTTTGTAGTTATAAAAGCTGTCATTTTTTAATGACTCAAAGCTTATCTTTTGAGTGGCTGAATTTTTCTTTTAAAATATTTGGTTGCTAAAATGATCCACATTTTCTTCTTGTAAACTATTTTGTTCCTTTTTATTAAGCCTAATCTTAGTGCCATACTAGAAAGGTAATCACTGTTATGAAATTATTGTTTATTCTTCCAGATATTTTAATTTTTTCTTATATGTTAGCGATGTTTTGTTTCTTACGTATGAATACAGTCATGTGTATGCATTGGTTTGCTGTGATGACTCAATAGATTCATGAAGGTAAGGTACTTGGATCTATTCCTAAACATAGTATGTCTTTAATAAAGGTTTTCATGTGTTATCATTGATACACTCATTATCATAATCATCTTCATTATCATTTATGGGGATGATTGTGTGTGTGTGGTGCTGGGGGTGGAACCCAGGGTCTTGCACATTCCAGGCAAGTGCTCTACCACTGAACTACATCCCCTGTGTGTAAAGGATTTTTAACTATGTCGTTACCTTTGTCAACATCACAGAATTCATAATGGAAAAGAGAAGTAGCTGTAGTGTTACAGGAAAGAAAGCCTTTCCTTAGCACTCATTATTACTCAGCATGGAATTTTGAAAGGGAAAAAAAATATGCCTGTCATCTTTCAGATTTCATCTTTTGTGCTTTGCCAAGGATTCTTATCTGAACCCCTGTGGATATAATGATGGTTGAAAGCACAGCTGTCAAAACAGCAGAAGGAAATGAAAGCATTTCTCATAATTTGTTCCAAAAAAAAGAAAAAAAACCATACAGGTCATAGTCTTTGAGCAGAATGAGGGAAATGGTAACAATAGAATAGCCATAAAATACCTGAGTATTAATTCAATATCCCCTCAATTAAAGTGGGTTAAGGAAATAAATCCCTTCAAATATTATTTAAAGGTGAATGAAACTGAGGACACAAAAAACCTGAGAGTAGCACTAAAAGCTGAATTGAAGGTTTTATAACTCAATATGCATGCATATAGTAAAATTCTGTAAAGAGTATTAAATCATTATAAAATCCAAGGATCTAAAGCAAAAGTGAACTGTGGGGGGAGGAGGAAGGTATTATTTGCTATAAAAAGCAGAAACGGGTAAGAGGCTTAGCTCAGGCCTTAGAGCACCTGTCTAGCAAGCATGAAGCCCTGAGTTCAAACCCCAGTACTACTGAAAAAAAAAAAGAAGAAATAGCCAGGATTGGTGCCATGTACCTATAATCCGAGCACTCTGACTGAAGTAGGAGTATAACAAATTCAAAGCCAGACTGGACTAGCCCTATCTCAAAAACAAACAAACAAAAACCCAGCAAAACCAACCAAACAAGCATAAATAAAAGAAAAAATATCTAATAGAAATTTTAATTATTTGATGGAAAACAGACAAAAAGAGACAAACTTCAATGATTATGTTGGTGGAATAAGGGTGATAAATGTATGGCATTGAGAACAAGAAATTGAAATGACTACATATTTCAGCTTAAGAAGGACCTATCTTTGTAGGTGATGACAATGTGGAATTGGAATTAGTGGTGTAGATTGCACAAGTTTGTGCATATGTAAAAATCCACTAAATACTTTTAAAGGATGAATATTATGGTAGGTGATTTTTATCCTATCTTTAAAAACTTAAAAATTAGTATTTTGTGAACTATCTGAAAATCTGGACAGAGTCTGTACTTTTTCTTGTGGGTTTTTTTTTGGGGGGGGTTTGTTTTTTTTTTTGTGGGTGTTGTTGCTGTCACTGATTTTGTGTTTCAGACAGGCTGTTGCTATAGCTTGTGTTACCCAGGCTGGCCTGGTATTCACAAGCCTGCCTCTGCCTCCCAAGTGCTGGAATTACAAGTATGAACCAGCATGCCCAACTTTATTCACATTTTTAAATGATGCCAAGCTATGCGTTGTTTTCTAGCTGGCTTTGTTTAAGCAACAGTTTAACCTGTATATCCCTTCAGATCAAAAGGTATATGCCTAACCTACTCTAAAACCTGTACTGTATCTCACCACATTATTGTACTGTCCTTTCCTCAGTGAAGGACATTTAGACTATTTTTTAAAAGAAAGAAAGCTTGTTGGGGACATCTTTGCATGTACCTTTGTATATGTTGAATTTTTATTGACGCAGGGTGGCGGCGGTACTGGGGTTTGCATGCAAGGCTTTGTACTTGCTAGGCAGGTGCTCCAACCCTTGATTCATGACCTCCAGACCTAAATTTTTATTCTTTAAAATATATTTCTCAAACTGAAATTGATAAGTCAAAGAGACTGCTATTTTCTATTTTAACAGAAAATCCTGCTTAACTTTCCAGAACTGGGATCTGTCAGGTTCTCATCAGTTATGCATAAATGTACTTTTTAACTCATGGTTAAGCAGCTGTGAATATTGTCATCCCTTGTACAAATTGCCACAATGATGGGTAAAATATTTTATCATTATCTTTACAAAGATTGTTTATTTTTTAGCAAGAACTTAATGCACTTTGTCAATGTAATATTTAGTTACATAGCCATCCGTAACATTGCATACTGTTGAGTTTTAAGGAATTGCTATAAATTGTAAAGAAAATTTTGACTTGAATATTTACTTCTGATGTCTTTGGAATTAACAATATTGTGAACATTCTTGTTTGGGAATTTTTTTGGTGGTGGTGCTGGGATTTGACTTCAGGACTTCGCACATGCTAGGCAGTTGCTCTACCACTTGAGCCACACCTCCCAGCCTGCTGAACATTCTTGTTTAAATTATTTTGAGCACCTTCCAGTTAGAATTTTAGGCTAGGTTCCTATGAGGAAACTAGTTTAGTGTGATTGCTGATTTTTTTTAAGATCTTTAAGTTGTAGAGTAAAACACATAAAATTGTATAAAGCATATGTGTAATTTAAAACAATAATTGTAGAAAATAGAATGTAGAAAAATACCATTAATGAGAGCCAGGCACTGGAGGTTCATGGCTGTAATCCTAGCTATTCAGGAGGCAGAGATCAGGAGGACAGTAGTTTAAAGCCAGCCTGGACAAATAGTTCATGAGACCCTATCTCAAAAAACCCCTCACAAAAATAGGGCTGGTGGAGTGGCTCAAGGTGAAGGCCCTGAGTTCAAGCCCCAGTACTGCAAAAAAAAAAAAAGATACACGTGTATTTAATGACTACCCATCAATTAATTTGCAGAGATTGACAGAATAAATTTTAAACAAAACCAAACAACAGTAAAAACACAACACAACTATATGCTGTTCACTAGAAATGTTCAAATGTGTGTGTGTGTGTGTGTTGTGGTGTGTGTGGTTCAAAAATGTATAGA